GGAGACAGGGAGGGGGGTTGAGGGGGCTGGGCGGGGTGACGGAGACAGGGAGGGGGTGTTGAGGTCGACGTTGACGTAGGTTACAGAGACAGTCTGGGGCTGGGTGGCCAGTGACGGAGACAGGGAGGGGTATAGGGGGGGCAGAGTGGGGGTGCCGGAGACAGGGATGGGGGGAGGTGATGGTGATAAGGATTTTTAACTGATGTGGGTGTTAGTTGCTGATCGAACGTTTATTGCCCAGGGTGCTGTGGGTCTGGAGTTACTTGTTGGCCAGACCAGGCTGGGATGAGGCTGACAGATTGTCTGTCTCTCTCTCTCTCTCTGTGTGTGTGTGTGAAGGACAGTGGGGAACCTGACGGGGCTGGCTCCTTTATTGCTAGAGTTTTCGCCCAGTGAAAATTTCACAATAGTTCTAGTGGCTTTCAAACTCACCTCCCCCTCCACACTCACCCCCCATCCCTCTATCTCTCTAACCCAGGGGTCACAGGACAGGGGTCAGGATCAGGAACCTGGCTGTTTTCCCCCACCTACCTTCATCTCTGTCTCTCTCTCTCTCTATCTCTCTCACACTCACTCTAACCCAGGGATCACTGGACAGTGATGAGGTGGGATCTGTACAGGAAGGACAGGTTGACACAAAGGGTGGTGGGTGCCTGGAACGCGTTGCCAGCGGAGGTGGTAGAGGCGGGCACGATAGAGTCATTTAAGATGTATCTAGACAGATACACGAATGGGCAGGGAGCAGAGAGATACAGATCCTTGGAAAATAGGCGGCAGGTTTAGATAGAGGATCTGGATCGGCGCAGGTTTGGAGGGCCGAAGGGCCTGTTCCTGTGCTGAAATTTTCTTTGTTCTTTGTTGCACCTGAACTGGAGGGGCACCAATATCCTGGGCGGGAGGTTTGCTAGAGCTCTTCAGGAGGGTTTAAACTAGTGTGGCAGGGGCTGGGAACTGGAACAACAGGCCAGTGAGTGCAGGGACTGGGGGCAAAGGAGAGACTGAGATATGCATAGCGCAAGGTAAGAGCAGGCAGAAGGAAGTCATGGGGCTCAGAGGGACTGGAAGTCTGGAGTGCATTTACTTCGATGCAAGACGTATAGCAGGTAAAACAGATGAACTAAGAGTGTGGATTTCTGCATGGAATTAGGATGTTATTACCATTACAGAGACATGATTAACGGTGGGGCAGGACTGGCAGCTTAATATTCCAGGATATCGCTGTTTTAGACGGGACAGAAAGGGAAACAAAAGGGGTGGGGGAGTTGCATTGCTAATGAGGGATCACATCACAGCCGCGTTGAGGGGAGGACACATCAGAGGGATCTTGCATTGAGGCCTTTTTGGTGGAGCACAGGAACAGGAAGGGTGAAATCACGATGTTGGGAGTTTTCGATAGCTCTCCCCCAAGAGCTTACGGGAGACAGAGAAGCAGATATGCAGTCAGATACTGGAAAAGTGTGGGGGAAAAAAACAGCGTAGTTGTAGTGGGTGACTTAACTTTCCTCTCGGTAGGGTCATAGAAACTTACAGCAGGGAGATAGGCCCTTCGCCCCAAACCGCTCCATGCTGACCAAAATGTCCACCCACACTAAGCCCATTTCCTTGCACTTGGCCCATATCCTCCTAAACCTTTCCTATCCATGTATTCGTCCAAATCCCTTTTAAATGTTGTTAATGTACCCACCTCAACCACTTCCGCTGGCAGCTCATTCCATACATGCACCACCCTCTGTAAAAAAGTTGCCCCTCAGGTTCCCATGTATTCTTTCCCCTCTTACTTTAAACTGATGCCTTCTAGTCCTCGATTCCCCAGCCCTGGGAAAAAGACGGAGTGCATTCACCCTATCCATGCCTCTCATGATCTTATACACTTACTATAAGATCCTCCCTCAGTCTCCTACGCTCTGAAGAAAAGAGAACCAACTTGTCCAACCTCTCCCTATAACTCAGTCCCTTGAGTCCTGGCAACATCCTTGTAAATTTCTTCTGCACTCTTTCCAGTTTAATAACATCCTTCCTATAGCAAGGTGACCAAAACTGAACACGATACTCGTCATGCAGCCTCATCAATATCCTGTACAACTGCAACATAACTTCCCAACTTCTATACTCAGTGCCCTGACTGATGAAGGCCAGTGTGCCAAAAGCCTTCTTCACTGCTCTGTCTACCTGTGACTCCTCTTTCAGAGAACCGTGCACCTGGATTCCAAGGTCCCTCTGTTCCACTACGCTCCTTAAGGTCTTAGCTTTCACCATGAAACTTCGACCTTGATTAGACTTCCCAAAGTGCAACACCTCACACTTACCTATATTAAACTCCATTTGCCATTTCTCGGCCCACTTCCTGAGCTGATCAAATTCCTGCTGCAATTTCTGATAACCTTCCTCACTGTCCACTATTCTAGTGTCATCCACAAACTTACTAATCATGCCTTATACATTCTCATCCAAATCATCGATACAGATAACAGACAGCAATGGGCCCAGCACCGACCCCTGAGGCACACCGCTAGTCACAGGCCTCCAGTCCAACAAGCATCCTTCCACTATTACTCTCTGCTTCCTAACATCAAGCCAATTGGGAATCCAATTTGCCAGATCTCCCTGGATTCCATGTGATCTAACCTTCCAGAGCAGCCTACTATGTGGAACCTTACCAAAGGCCTTACTGAAGTCTATATAGATTACGTCTACTGCCCTGCCCTCATCAAACTTCCTGGTCACTTCATCAAAGAACTCTACAAATATGAGAGGCATGATCTCCCAGACACAAAGTCATGCTGACTACTCCTTATCAAACCCTGTCTTTCCAAATGCGTGTATATCTTATCCCTCAGAATTTTCTCAAGTAACTTACCTACCACGGATGTTAAGCCTACTGGCCTATAATTCCCAGGTTTTTCTTGGAGCCCTTCTTGAATAAATGCACCCTCCAGTCTTCCGGAACTTCATCCGTGGCTATCAATGATGCAAATATATCAGCCAGGGCCCCCACAATTTCTTCCCTAGCC